GTCACGGCACTATCTGTACGTCTCTCAAGCTCGCAAAATCCTGCGGAGGCTCTCGGTAGTGCGATCATTAACTGTTTGAACGCATCACGTCCGGTGTACGTCGAGATACCTACAGATGTTGCCCAGGCGCCTTGCACACCCCCTGGACCACTGCCCATCAACGATTCTGAACTATTCGAGATGGACCACGCCCTCAATGCCGTTAACGCGGCTACAAATTGCTGGAACGGGGCGAAACAGCCTATTTTACTGATTGGGGCCTATGTGCGCCAAACTGTTCTCCCTCACGTTTTGGTCTCCCTCATCGATAAACTCGGCTGCCCGGTTCTGGTCCAACCAGACGCCAAGACTCTTGTCCCTGAAGACCATCCTCAGTTTCTGGGAACTTTTTGGTCCAGTGCAAGCGAGCACAGTATTGAGAAAGTCTTCATGGATTCTGATTTATGGGTTATGGTTGGGTGTCGTTGGACTGACTACCACACCTTGGGCTGTCTCGATATTCGAGAAGAATCGCATCGTATCCTCGACCTCCAGGACAGATCCGTCACTATTCCAAGCGATGAGAGTTACACAGATATACCGCTCAATGAGTTGATAAAACTTATCGCCCAGTCTAATATCCAACACAAAGGTACTGTGCAACCTAACGGGATAATCCCAACTGTCAAAGTCAAACGAGCAACTATAGATACCTCAAAACTCTCGCTGTCCACCATCCTCGGTGGTATTCAGGAGGTGATAGGACCCCAAAATACCGTCATCGCTGATACTGGTGATAGCTGGTTCAATGGGCAAATGATCAAGCTGCCCTGGGGAGCCGGTTATCAGATGCAGATGGTGTATGGTTCAATCGGGTGGAGCCTTCCGGCCACTCTTGGTTATCAACTCGGCCGGCCAAATCAACGAGTCATATTGATGATCGGAGACGGTAGCTTGCGCATGACGTTCCAGGAATTGAGCACCATGATCAGCCTTAGGCTCAATCCCATCATCTTCGTTTCTAATAATCTGGGATACGCAATAGAGGTGAGTTCAGGTGAAAATAATTCATAACAAAAAATAGTTGTCTTACTATTTCTAGACCGCAATTCATGATGGACCATACAACTATTACTCGAACTGGAGTTATACCTCATTGGCGAATAGCCTCTGCAGCACTTTTCATGCCATCTACGATAACCCATACGTCGACCACAAACTCACGGAAACTTGTTCAGACCCTCCGATGTTTTCAGCGCAGATTAAAACCACTACGGACTTACGGATAGCCCTGAAACGTGCTGAGCATGAACCCAAGAAGCTTGCCTTCTTGGAGTGCTGCATCGATCCCAGCGACATCAGCTCCTCACTTCAACGCTTTGGCTTGGCTGTTGGCACGAGGGGCAAATAGGACGAAGAATGCGACACTAAGGGCAGTCCAAAATTTCTATCCATTTTTTATAACATTCTGAGAGTAAGGAATATGCTTGCATGTCTTCCGGCTAGTTTTTGCTGTTGGGCATATCAGATTTAAGATTGACAATGATTCGACAATCATTACAGGATTATCTAGGATAGATGGCGCAAGCTGCAGAGCTATACATAGCAGATATATGTACTCAGCTAGCGATATGAAAGACCGTAAAATAACAGTATACTTTTATGTATAGAATTACAATTGAGCTAGTCTTATTGTGAGGGATAATTCAATCTAATCAATTTCCTACATAGGACCACCCAAGGAGGGACCACATGCCACGTGATGATGAGCAGCTAATGGCATCACGTGGCTTTATTGTGGGTGCTGTTTCTTATCTGATCAATGACATTGATAAGGATCTCCGCGTGGAACTTCTGTTTTGGGCTAACATGACTTCATATTCCTGGGCATCAATTCTCATTACTTAATCCGTCTCCAGTTATTTGGAATGGTATTGTTGTTGTATATGTCCGTAAATATTGCAATTGTTTTTGGGTTAGTATTTCACACTCCCGGACGAATAGACTGTTGCGTTTGGTCCAGTCAGACTAGTTAATCCGATCGAGATATATAGTTATCTAGGACTAGTGATAGGATTCTAAGGAAAATTGGAACGGACTTACCAGTAGTGACAGGCACTCAAAGCTACTTGAAACACCATACTTTCACACTAGAACTCCCGCTCGATACCCAATCTGCTAATTATAGTCACACAATATCCAAAGAGGAGTGAATCGAGCGGTTATTGGCGGGCAGCGGCGCTCCCACCGGACCGGGTATCGGAGAGTCGGCGAGTCGGAGAAAAGGGTCACGGGGCGGGGTAACCTTGATAAGTTGATAAGAACCGCGGTTCCTGACGGAGCTCTTTGCTCTTCTCCATCTGCCACCATTTCAACATGCCTTCCATCAAAGTCGCTGAATATCTCTTCCGTCGGCTCAAAGACCTGGGCGTAGCTTCTGTCCACGGTGTGCCCGGCGATTTCAACCTCACTCTGCTTGACTATGTGGAGCCGGTCGGTTTGCGATGGGTCGGTAACGCGAACGAGCTGAACGCCGCCTACGCCGCCGACGGGTACGCCAGAATCAAAGGCATTGGCGCCGTGATCACCACTTTCGGTGTCGGGGAGCTGTCTGCTGTCAATGCGATTGCAGGAGCCTACACAGAACGGGCGCCCGTCGTGCACATTGTCGGAACACCAGCTCGGGACTTGCAGGAGGGACGCAAATTGGTTCACCATACTTTCAACGATGGCGAATATGGGCGCTTCGCTAAGATCTATGAACACTTGACTATCGCCCAGGCCAGCTTGCGGGATCCACGCACCGCTCCAGCACAAATCGATGAAGTACTACGACAGTGTCTCCTTCATAGCCGACCGGTCTATATTGAGGTGCCAATGGATATGGTGCACCAGTATGTGTCAGATGAAAGACTCGCGCTCACCGTCAGCACACCCGAGCCTGTTCCCTCACAAATCCAAGATGATGTCGTAGCGCGAATTCTGGAGCGCATCTATGGAGCAAAGCGACCAATTATTCTCGTCGATGGAGAAATCAGACCGATAGGAATTGTGGACGAGGTGCAGAAAATTATCAACGCTACAAACTTCCCAACCTGGACCACCAATTTCGGAAAAGGGTTGGTGGATGATACCCGGCCAAACTTCCATGGAATCTACCGCGGTAACTACGACCCGACCGAAGTGCAAGACTTCTACAAAGGAGCGGACTTGGTGTTGTGTTTTGGACCACACTTCAGCTCCACCAATTCCTACTTCTACCAGATTATCCCCAAGCCTGACGTTGCGATATTGTTCACCGATAATGAAGTCAAGTTTGGCACGGAGATTGTTCGGGACATTCCCGCCAAGCTCACCACATCCCGTCTGATTCAGAATATCGACCTCAACCGAATCCATCTCTATGACCCTTATCCTAACCTGCCCCGTGATAAACTCGTCTCATTTTCCGAAGTGGAGGGAGATAAACCGATCTCCCAGGATAAACTGTGGCGAGTGTTTGCGAACTTCCTTCGTCCAGGCGACATCCTACTGGGAGAAACAGGCACGGCAGGATATGGTGTCCGTGAGATGGCGTTTCCCAAGCACACTCGCCTTTTCGCACCTGTGACCTGGCTGTCCATCGGGTACATGCTACCAGGAGCACAAGGTGCCGCACTAGCGCAGGAGGAGCTGATGGCATCAAACAACTACCACGGCATCAAAGACGCACGCACAGTCCTTCTCATCGGCGACGGTAGCTTCCAGATGACCGCACAGGAACTGTCCACTATCATTCGACTGAAGCTGAATGTCGTAGTCTTCCTCATCAACAACGACGGATACACTATCGAGCGGTGCATCCACGGTCGGAAGCAGGGATATAACGATGTGTCACGATGGAGGTACCTACAGGCTCCCAGCTTCTTCGGAGCGAGCGAAGACACATATACAGCTTCAGTCACAACCTGGAAGGAGTTACAGGATGTTCTTTCGAACGATGTTGTTAGCAATGGAAAAGAGTTGCGGATGGTAGAGATAATGCTAGATCGGGAGGATGCTCCTATCGGACCTTTGTCGATTCTTATCGATCAGCAAAGACAGACCGGTGCATAGGTAGAGTGATACACGAAGAGTAATACATGGACATGAAATTAAACACTGTTGGAAGTGACAATTGAAAAGGACTGTATCTAATCTCATTGCTGTGTCGCTACACGCACACACACACACACACACACACACACAATTCATTAATGCCCGGCGGCTCAGCCGAAGGGGCAATTATTGCTGATCTATTAATACCGGTTCTAATGTGCATCTGCGGTATCTTTTTTGAGTTTATATATAGATTCTTTCAGTATATGTCCTCTCAGCTGTCACTATTGTAGAATTCCCTGTAGTTAGTATATTAATTAGTAGACTAGCTTGAAGGTATTTCTCTAAAGTATTTAAGATCCTATTCTCGGCAGTTGAAGTATATCTACTATCTGTGGTATAAGATAGTTAGTATAGGTAAATTAAGAGAGAAATATTATCAATTATCATATTAATTAATATAATTAAGCGGCGTCGAGCCGGCCTGTAGTAATTATAAATTATATTATAATTTGTACTGTCTTTAAATTTAGTATTTATAACAAATTATCAAAAGATAATTTCCCGCCTAGACAGAGAAAGAAATTGCCCCAGTAAGTACAGGTATATTTTATGAGAGAACACGACTAGGTTTCCGGTGATTCAGCTGAACATGGTCTGCTCATGTAATTCCAGTATTTGCCCCGTATGTAGGATATCCAAGCATAAAGAGGAACTCCTTGGCAAATGCAGCGGCCGTGGCTGCTTATCTTCAGCTTTCTACTTGCCTGGGTTCCTTGAGGTTAGAAATCGTTATTCATCTGAGAACTGCTAAACTTTAAATGTAGTTATCATAAAAGTTCAGTTATTGGTACATACCCATTTTAGGAAGCAATGCACCATCAAGTTCTCATCAACAGCAGGCGTCGTATCCCACCCCGCCAATCAAAATTATCGCTAGAAGATTAAATTGGAGCAGATCTTCTCAACGCGTCTCGTTGAGGATAAAAGTCCAACAGCGCCTTCGTAGCAGATGCTGCAGTTGCAGCGGCAAAATTCTGCCATTCCTTGTTTTTATGGCTGTCTGCATAATCGCAAACAGCTTTAACGACGACACAGGGCGTCTCCCACAGTCCGGCGCCCTCCATCTCGAAGGCAATGATACTATGGGCTCTGGCAATCCTGTCTCGCTTCTCCGCCGACTTCATGACCGTGTCCGCCGATCCGATCGTGCCGACGAATAAAGACGGAGCTTGAGCTTTTTCCGTCTCGCCTCGCTTTTCTAATTCTTGCTTTGTCTGGATGCGTTCTCGTGATTTGACATTTTTAAAGTCGCATCCTACCTCCTTACACGACAGGCTCTTAAAAAATCGCCGCTTGTGTCGGTAGCTGGAGTCGAAGACTATATCCTGCGAGGCCCCGGGGTAGTCGTATCTTATGCCCCCGGGCTTACGAGCGGTCATCTGTTGGAGTTTTAACAGGTAGCCTGCGGTGAGCTCCTCAGCCCTCTCCCGCGCGCGGATTGTTTCCAACATCGAAAGAAGATGCCGAATATTTGGCGGTGCTCGGCCAAACCTGTCTTCTACTGTATCCTTCGTCTCAAAGCCCTCAGGATACTGTCGGCCAAGATCATACTGCACGATATGCCTACTAACAACCACATCCCCTAGGAGAATCTCCTTGCCGGCACCTGGGAAAGGAACACCTCCGCATATCCCGGTAAGAAGGACTAGGGAAAGACTTGAATAGCTTGAGCGAAGGTGAGCAGATGCAATAGCCGCGCTGACTTTCCCCATGTCGGAAAGCTTGAGGAGGACGACATTAAACTTTCCAATGCGCCCATTGGTGTAAATGTTCGCATCTCCCCAGGTCCTCCCGTAGTCCTCGTCCCAAATCTCGTCAAAAAGAGCGCAAACGGCATCGAATTCCAGCGTCAACGCACATACAATGGCGATCTCGAAATCATCTCGACTAGTGGGGCGATGCTGGCTTGTGGCAGGTAGTTTCACAAGCCTGACGTTTGAAGTGGATGTCGGGGAAGAGAAAGACAACTTCTTCGAAATAGGAAGGTCTGATACAGAATCCTGGCGCTTGCGCTTAAAGTTTTGGGGGTTCACATTGACCTCAAGGTTTCGGACAATCTGGTCGTAGATAGTCTTCCTGAGGCATTCGTTGAGAGGCAAGTCGGCGGCTTTATTTTGGAATACTTCGACGACAACCAATACACATTTGGCCGAATTGGTGATCATAACGTCGTCCTGGCCATCCTTCCGGCCGGTGGCTATGGAGTCGCACAGGCAGCACTTGCAGCAAATATGATGAAACATACCTTTCCAGCCATCCAATTTGCTTTGCTGGTGGGTATCGGAGGTGGATTTCCAAGCAGAATCCATGATATTCGCTTAGGAGATGTGGTGGTCAGCACACCAGGTGCCGGGCATCCTGGAGTAATCCAGTACGATCTCGGCAAGCAAGGACTGGTCGAGGATCTTACTCCTACTGGAGTCTTCCAACCAGCACGAAAAGCTTTGGCGGCTATTAATGTCATGAGGGCAAGATATATGATGATAGATAATGATCTGGCAGGTACCATCAATGAAATTTTGGAGAAATATCCTATAATATATGATGTTTGCTCCCACCCTGGTATGGTCAACGATATTTTATACCATGCAGATTATGATCATGTGCCTGGCAATAACTGTATCAATTGCAGTAAACACATGGTCATAAACCGAAGGGCACGGAGTACAACTGAGCCATATATTCATTACGGGCTTATTGGATCGGGAAACCAGGTGATCAAGAATGGGAAATACCGGGAAGTCCTGAGGAAAAAACATAATATTATGTGTTTTGAGATGGAGGCAGTAGGTATATTGGTAGGCAATTAAAATAATACTCATGGTTTTTTGAAGTTCTATACTAATCTGTACTTATCAGGAGGTATTTGAGTGTCTTGTTATTCGAGGTGTTTATGACTACTCAGACTCCCATAAGAATGACTTGTGGCAGGGTTATGCAGCACTTACAGCAGCTGCATACACAAAAGACCTGTTGCTTCTGATCGATGGTGCGGTTACTCCAGATCGTGAGTAGTCTATCTATATGTTTTTTTATCTCCTCCTTCGGGGAAGGTTCTAACAACGACCGTCTAGGTATAGCTTCACCCATCCAGAATTCGCAGTTTGACCAACAACCAACGATTTCCGAACCTCCGCCAAGATATGCAGAGGCAACACGTCAATATCAACCGGCACTTGCTAAAGTCGAGCAGCCTTCTCAACAGCCAAAGAAACCAGCAGATCAAAATACTTCTCCCAAATCCCCTGTCTCACGTCCATCCCAGCAGCCAGTTGACCCTCGAGTTCGGAATGACTACGGAAGAAGACTGGTTGAAGCAGCCAAGGCTGGTAATCTGCTAGCGGTAAAGCGCTTCCTTGAAAAGGGAGGTGATCCAAACACTACAACTGAGAATGGAGATCTCACTGCGCTGCACTACGCTGCCAGGATAGGTCACAGCGGATTAATACGACTACTTCTTAAAGCAGGGGCCAATCCCAACGGCAATATAAGATTCAGTAATGATACCCCTCTGTTTGAAGCGGCTTCCAGTGGCCATATAAGGGTCATCCAATATCTAATACTTTATGGAGCTGATATCAGGGTCCATTGTCAGCAGGGTAAAACTGCATTGCACACAGCCGCGGAGAAAGGACATTTTGCGTGTGTAGAGCTTCTTGTGCAGAACAAAGCCGATCCTGACAGTATTGATGAGGATGGACATACACCTCTGGAATTGGCGAAGAAGGAAGATCACTTAGAGATTGTCAAGTATCTACAGCGGATATAGGGCTTTCTAAGTGTTCAGTTTATTGATTTTAAGAGACTTCTGCCAACTAGTTCTTTTATGATGCTGTACCAGAATGAGATTACGCTGTTGATTCTTAATACTTTTGTCGAGAAAATTATAGCCACAGACATGTATATTAGTAGTTGTTTGCCTAGGTTCGTAGATGAATAAATCACATGATCAGGCACTGGTCACTTTCGCGATCCCAGTTGTCGCTTCTTCACTATTCTTCGGGCGGCATGCGGCCCATAATTCCCACTTTATCCCCACATGGGTGCTGAAAGGTGGGGGTGCTTGAGGGTAGCCCATCCAGCCAAAGCTACGAATGCTATCTGGAAATGGCTTGTAAGACAAGAGAAATTCCTTCTACTCAAGAGAATATACCCGCATCTCATCTTACCCGAAGTTCCACCAAGATACCTTCAACGTCAGAATGGGTTCTCTGGACTTCACTGTAAGCTTCCCTTTAATTTCATCACCACTAGAGTATTCACAGCTATTTTATTCGAAGGGGTACTTTAAAGGAGGGTCTGGGCTTAGGGTAATGTTTATAGAGAAATCGCCACCGGCAAGCTTAGTAGTGTTAGAATCTACTAGCTTCCACCGGATCATGGATCTTACCATTATGGCTCATGATGAATCTCCGTAACTGGCTCCCTGAGATCTACGGTGCCGGGGCGGGATGTTCCATGTTCTTCCATGGATTATCTCCCGTGGTTAACTATTATTATATTAAGATTATATAAATCAATAATTACATACATAAGATCATAAGTTAATACCATTCCTATATATTTCATATATTATACCTTTAAAAGTCCTGGCCACCCTCTTTAGTAAGCGGGTGGCTCTCTATAACTTACACATTAAGATCTTAGCAGTGGGGCGAGAAAACAATCGTCAGTGGAATTTCGAGACTGACTGTACACATAAACTTGACCACGCACATCACAATGCTCCAAGACTTCTCTAGGGATCCGGCCCTTCACTCGATACCACTAGATACTATGTAGCCTCCAAGACTCCCAACCAACCCGTCATCTCTCCATCATCCCATCCACCCTACCCAGGCAACTCCGCCACGTCCCAATGAGCTGACAACTCCGCCACATTCCAGTTCGTCGGCAGCTCCGATATCTCATTCCCAACCGCGACCAACTCGACCCACTCCTGCTCATGTCCCAGAGCCTCCACAATACCACACCCCGCAGTCGGCAGCTCCGCCTTCCCAAAACCACCCCAGGCCGTATCCTCCTCACCCTCCGATGATGCTGGCTGATCAGCAGATCTCTTCCGTTTCCGCCAGAGCATAACACTAGCGATCAAAGCACCCGCCACAACAAGAAGCACGATGGGGGCTGCTATCCACGCCAATGGGCTCTTGAAATGCTCTTCAGGATGTGGCACCGTTCCTTCTGTGGCAGATGTAGTAGGATCTGCAACCGCCGTAGACACACCAACCGATCTACTCAACTTCTCCAACCCAGCTGTAATCGGAATAGACATATACGCTAGAGCTGACACCGTCCTCGAATAGGTCGACGTATAAGGAAACGTGAAGGCAGCAGAGGACTCCCAAGCATAATCTGTAGTAGTGCAGGAAGCATTAAAGGAGGCTGTAATGTCACATTGAACGACGTAAGTATGGATCGCATATTGGATCACCATCGATGTGGTAGACTTCAGACGATGGGTTAAGGGAGTGATTGAGTCGACGCTCGTGAGAGTGAGTTCTGCAGTTGACGGGCCGTTCGTTGCTGATACTGGTACTGTGATGAGACAGTTGCCGAGTTTGCTGCTTTGACAGTTGAAGATTGCGGTGGTTTGGTTGGTTGTGCCGTTTACGTTGAGGATGCTGGCGCCTAGGTTGTCGAGGTGGGTGGTGTTGCTGGTGCGGAGGATGATGAAGTAGGTTGTTATTGTTGTTGCTGTTGAAGATGATGTTGACGATGATGATAATGATGCTGACACAGTTGATAATAGTAATAAGGACCAGTCATGGTCGTTGGTGGGACGCCTGTGGGAGGGTTCAGTGTTGATTTCAGTAGACGTGGTGCCTGTGTAGTCCGTGTTATCCCTAGGCTAGTCGGTAGTGAGGCCCAGGAAGAGTTCATAGTTGAGCTGGCCATGCATAGGGCTAGAAGGACAGCCACTAGGGCGAGATGGATCTTGGAAGCCCGAATCATGGTGGTTTACTCTCTTCACCAGATAAGCAGCGTTGATGCAATGTAAGAACTGACAATTCTGAGATAAAACCTGGAATGCGTAGAAAGGATCGAGGAATGGATTCACACGGTCTGACATAGTTTTGAAATTGATTTACTATTCACTATAACTATGTGCATCAGGACGCACAGCCGTTGATACGGGGCCATCACTCCAATCAAACATGCACCTGGATGCGCAGTCGTTAATACGGTCCCGCCGTCACTTTTATGCATCTAGGATGCATGGATGATATGGTACCGTGTGAACCTGGAGAATTAATTCAAATGCATGCTTCGATTATGCTCTAGCAAACAAAGGAGTTAACATAGAGAAATGCATAGATTCATGGCAATCTGGAAGCTATAAAGCGCTCAAGCTTGGCCAAACAATTATCCCCAGTCGCAAGATAGGAACAGGCAGGGACATCCTCAACATGCTGGTACAGTGCAGATAGCTTCATGAATTCCCTCCCACAGTTTAAACACTCATATTGCCAGCCTCCATCTGTATCAACGATATATTTCCTGCTCTGGTAACACTCCTTCGCTAAATCATCGATCGTCTCTTGCGAAACCCCCGATTGACAGGCCCCTGATTCCAGTTGGATTAGCATCCCGGAAAATGACCTGAAGCAATGATAGCAGCCATAGCATTCCACATCCTTGGGTTGGTGCTTCTGCCGATGCTGGAAAAAAATGAAACCATCAGAATCTTTCACACAACAACGATAAGGTTAGTCAGCTTACCATTCTTAGATTGTTTTCATTGCCGAAGTAGTTGTCGCAGATATTGCAATAATAATGGACCAGGATATCATGGCTTAGGAGATTCTCAGCGGAATTGAGGATAATATTGCACTCAAGACAAGCATGATGATAATCCACCAGATGGTTTCGAAGATCTTCATCCGTTTTAAAGTCTACTGGTTCGCGACAGGAACGACAAATATTATGTCTTTTGGATGCTCGGATGTGCGCATTCTTCGAGTCTATCGAGACAAATACCCGACGGCATCTCTCACACCATTCATGTCGTGTGGTTGCTCTGCAGTGGGAGAAAAGGGCGCCTTCAGTCCTGAACCATCTGTCACAAATAGTACAGATGTAGTCTTCACCATCGTAGTCAAGGTATGGTCCCAAGTCGCCCATGTCGCTGATCTGTAATAGTCCAAATGAGTAGTATAAGTCTGCAAAGTGATAGTGAGTAGTTTGTAGAGATACAATAATTGGATCAAGAAGTAAGAATTTAAACCTGTGGTGGATTCACGGCGGCTAACTCCGGACCTGTGAGTCCTGAACACCTTCGAGACGCCGGATATCCCCTTAATTGCGCGCCCAAAGCTGTATATGGAACGATTCCCCCTCAGCCGGCGCTTAATTACTCTGTGCAGACATGTGCGGCGGCCAAATCATAGGGTGAGAGTGCTGCACTGACTGTTTCCAGGATTTTACAGGGGCGACTAGCCCGTCCATTGATATTGTGATGAGCTGGATAAAGCTAGACTAAGCCTTACATTAACAGGTTTGGCGCTGTGATGGCCAAATTTGTGAATCACTGGAAGTGACTAGTATGTGCGGCTGTAATTTCACTTGCACTCAGGGAGGAACTCATACAAGTGGAACACTGTTGAATTCACCAATTCTATCTATTTCGGCCTCTGCCTACTATGAGCCATAATATGCTTCAGTCTGATTGCTATTCAGATGTATGGTAGGCCTATCACACAGCACTACTGCATAAGCAATGCCTTTGTATAATATGCATATATTAGCAGCCAAGTAGACTAGGCAGAATGTACAAAAGTGACATCCGGATACGCCGCAGATGGGCCACTCAGTAGATCCGACGTGCGCCCATAAGCAAAATACTGCAAGGCAGCAACCATATATGAGACAACCACATTCTTAGCGCGCAAAGCGCCAATTGTTCCAACATAAGTCGCTTGAACAATTTCTTTCACTTCGTCAGATATACTCACAGAATCTATCAGCACCGGAACGTCGGAAAAGGAATAGTGCTTAGACTGTGCGAGTCGTAGCTCCAATCTCCATCCTCGTAAATTCGACCAGAACGTTCCCCAGCTGGAATCAGTTTCTGCGGTGTGATTCGCGTTACTGAACATTAGGAACGGGTTGGACAGTCCCTTTTTAAGAACGGATCCCCAGAATGTACCATCTAAATTGATGCCTCCGACGAATCGGTTGTCAACTAACATTGTCTGCGCTGCTGTAGCTCCGCCGAGGGAATGGCCGGTGATGGATACTCGGTCGAGAGAGAGTAGATGTGAATTTTTTAGTGACAAGGGGAATATATCTCTAACCGCCGTCTCGTTGTGGGTTTGGTTGTAAACAAAGATCATGTCTTGGACGCGAACGTTCATTGCCCAAGTGTATTGTGCGTCTGTTGTGGTGTTGTCGAGGATACCGATAACAGTACTACCATCGGGAAATTCCACAATATTGGCATCATACGGATGATCGACAGAGATGACAGCAAACCCGTGACTGGCAATGTCTTGAAGCAGCGAGGTGTACATCAATCTTGATACTCCCAGGGCCGGTGAGAATAGCACAATTGGGTAACTTTCGTTGTTACTAGACGAGAGTGGCTGTTGCTGTGTCTGGATGCGAAAGGATTCGAACGTTCCTGCAGGTAGCCCGAAAGACTGGAATGTTTCATCTTCATATGCTGCTGTTGCATCTGGCATGTAGGATTCAGAGAGCACACCCCCGCATTTGAAGGGTGTAAAGGTTGTGACCATGAGGGCACGTTTCCCCCCTTTTGGGTTGAATGGATTGGTTCGAGACCAGTCGACTAGTTCACTGGCCTTGAGCGTGACGTCGCATGGTCCAGTGCCCGGAGGAAGAGGAACGGTTGCTGCTTGGCCGAGACCGAGAAGCAAAAGGCTGGTGCATATGATGGCAGCAACCATTTTAGCAGCTTTTGACGATGAAGATAGATTTAGAAACCGATGAGCCTGGAGTGTAATTGCCATGATGAACAGCAGCAAAACGCCTGTACTTATAGTTGCGATGTTGCAGATACCGCTGATGATGGATTGACTTTACTTCCCATATCCGAATGCTTAGTTTGCCCGGTTGTGGAGCACTGAGTCCCGTGGTGGATGATTGGTGTGTGATGATTTTGCCCGATAGAGGTTCTTTGACCTCATGGCAGCTTAGAGGGGACTTTTATTGGTCGTAGCCCTGAGCTATATCATCATACATTTGCTCATTTGTAATGTACTGTAACATAAGAGATGGATCATGTACGTGCTAACCACTTGGTAGTATATTACTGACTAGAATAATCTTAGGGGAACTGACTGAGGTGGAATGGGGCAGTATGGGACACCAGCTAGCTATGGCACCGTAAGTAACGAAGGAAGACTAGCAATGAGCATCTCGATTGATTCTAGTGGAACATCAATAGCATGTGCGGCATTTTAATTTATCAAAGCGGGACGCCTAACGGATGCCCATGACAGATTCCTCTAGTGTACATCATCTTTGGCACAGCAAGAGGAAACAAATCCCTCACTGAGCGAGAATATCCTTATCTCCAACAGGTAATTCAAGCCGACTTTTGAATATGCCATCCCCTGACGATCCGATAAACACCATACATGCAGCGTCCTAGGGCTCAAAACACTGACAGAGACGAACAGCCAGCATATCATCAAACTTACTCCACCCGAACCTAACCTCTTATATCTGCATGAGATACTGTCACCATAATTCCCAACTATAGCCTTTCTTCCATCTGCAAAGTCATGATACGAGTGTATGCGCGATTTACTGTTCTAGAAATGAGATGGCTTGAATGCCCGAAGCAAGCTGACCCGATTTATCCGAGCCCTACCCAGGATTGTACTAGCTTTGCGGGGGCCATTGAAATCTACAAATGTCCACCAATTGTACTATGGCATAGGTAAGTTCTCCCCTCTTGCATTAAAATCGACCTTATCCTCTGAGAGATTTACGTCCAAGGGTGATGTACGCGGAGCCCTTATCTTTCAGATTTCTTGTTTATCGGGCTAATCCGAGGTCGACTGACAATTTCCCAGTCGAATTGGAAGCTAAGATCACACTGAGTCTACCACACGCATAGAGAAGCATACTCGACAGTTTCATCTCATTCTCTGCTTATCGTTACATTTTGTCGACCCGTCTCACTGACCTTCCGCATACTTAGGCACCTCCTCGCCCTCACGCCAGAAATACTTTGCGCCCGGATGCGACTCAGGCAATCTCGTCTGACCCTTCTGCTCGGTCATATTCTCACGCATGGTCCCGCCCTTGACTGCATAATCCGTGTGGAAGATACCGCGTGCCTGCAGCTCGGGCACGAGATACTGGATAATATCGTCAAACGTCTCAGGAATGCTGGCGTAGCTGAGATTAAACCCATCGACATCAGCAACCTCCACCCACCTCTCCAACTCATCCGCGACTGTCTTGGGCCCGCCAATAATCTTGCATCCATTGCCGCCCATAATCAAATAATCCGCAATGGTCTTCTTGTTCCACTTCTTCCCCTCCATCCCCGGCACCGTACTGGCCCAGTGATTAACCATACTCCGCACCGCCGGCTGCTCCACGAATCGGAAATCCTGTTCATCATCGTATGTCGACAGATCATACCCAGACCAGCCTCCAAACAGCGCCAACGCGCCTTCGCGATCTCCATACCTCGCATACTCCTCGAACTTGGCCTGCGCGGCCTCATCCGTCTCCGCAACGATCACCAACACACCCGCGACAATCTTAATCCCCGCAGGATCGCGTCCCAGCGCCTTCGCCTGTTCCCGCACACTATCAACACTCGGCCTGACCAGCTCAGGCGTCTGCCCATTCAAAAAGATCGCCTCGGCATGCTTCGCCGCGAACGCCTTACCCGCCGACGACGTACCAGCCTGCAACAAGAACGGCGTCCGCTGCGGACTCGGCTCACACAGATGCGGTCCAGGGACATTGAAGTACTTCCCCTTGTGATGAATCTGCCTCACAGCCTTAGGGTCCGCATACCCCTTCACCCCATCGCGATCATCCCCTTTATACACAGCCCCATCGCGCCATGACCCCTCCCACAATTTATACGTCACATCGAGATACTCATCCGCAATGCGATACCGCTCATCATGTTCAATCTGGGTATTCAATCCGAAGTTCCTTGCCGCAGACTCCAAATACGACGTGACGATGTTCCATCCCACCCGACCATTCGATAAATGGTCAACAGTAGAGAAGCGTCTCGCCATCGCGTACGGCGCATCGTATGTCGTCGACGCAGTCACACCAAAAGCAATCGTCTCAGTAGCAGCCGCCATAGCGGGGATACTGTACAGCGGATCATTAATCGGGAACTGCGCGCCCGCAGGAATAGTCGGATCGAGGTTCGCGGGACCCTTGTAGACGTCATAGCCGCCGAGGACGTCGGCGAAGAATATAGCGTGGAATTTGGCCGCCTCGAGCTTCTGTGCAACGCGGATCCAGCTCTGCAGGGAGGTGTAACTGTGGCCTTGGTCTTTGGGGTAGCGGTGCAAACCTGGGTTCAGGTGCGAGGGCGATTGCATGGCGAAGGCATTGAGGATGAGTTGTTTTTTCTCGGCGGAGCCCATGGTTGCAATATTTGATGAATAATTAGGATAGTCGATCTTGATTGAGGGAAGTGGAAAATATAGTAGTTATGTAAACGGTAAGAAGGCCAGGGTGGTGAGTTTATAAAGCGTCGCACAGTGGGTATCTGGTATGTGTAATGTGCAACTTGCACTATTTTCTCCCGTGTCAGTATAGCTCGTGATAACAAGGCCCCTCAGTTGTAGTACTCGGACGAGAAAGTATGCTCGTGGCTGTGATTTGCGGGTTGTATGCGAGGCCAAGGGGAAGACGTGCGATTGCCGCGTGATTGCGCCAGATGCGGTGGTGATGGTGCCAACTGTAGTAGTCTCGGAAGTGAGGGGAAGGAGGGGTAGATGAGCTGTGTAACTGCGATTGTAGCTGTGAGTCAGTTTTTGATAAGAGATTTTTGCATGCTAATGGCTTTGACTTGGGATTCAGTTATGGTCTTGTTAGTTTTGGTGGTCACTTTGAGGGTGTAGAGTGGTTCAGATAGTAGGTTTTGTAGGGTTGAAAATGCTGCCGGTACACAATAGGATACAATCCAAAATCATTTTTACCCGTCTAAATCATTTTATTGCATATGTAGCATGATAATATCCATTCTATGTACAGTTGAAAATGTGAAAAAAGAGGTTCGAACCAAACACCCCTCACTCCGCCATATCAACAACTATCCTCTTCCCCGACACACTTCCCTTGCGCAACACCTCCAACGACTCATTAATGCTCCCTAATCCGCCTTCATGTCGAACGACCTCCGGCAGCTGCAACGCTCCTGTCTCGAGCAATCCCTCCAACCAAGAGACCATTTGCTCTCCCACGGTCGGAGACGTATGGAACAGCTTGATCGGAACAGTGTGATATACCAATGCTTCGTTTCTTTCCTTTGGTAGGCCTGTCAAACCGAGTAGATGAGAATGGGATCCATCCTCGCGAATAGTATGGTCGAGTGTGCGCTGTAGTAGGGTTGCCGTCTCTGCCCCGACAATGTCAACAGCATACCGGAGTTTACCTCCGGTGACTCCACGTATGATATCCACAGCTCGTTCTGTATCTTGTCGGTCAACAAGAACATCTGCACCGAGTTGATGAAGTCGTGAGCCGTGGCGGGCGATATCTGCTACACAGATGACGTGGAGTCCTGCAAGCTTGGCGAGTTGGAGGGTGATGTATCCGGTTGTGGTGGATGCTATGACAGTCAGCGATTTTCTCCAAGAGTAAGGGGCAACTCACCACCCCAAATCGCAATCCAGTCACCCTTCTTGAGACGCTCCGATACTGCACTTGATGAAAAGCACTCCCCTCGGATATCCGCCGGTATGTCGTTGATATCAAGCTGAGCGACCGTGTCCTGCAAGTTCGGGCCCGGGGCCTGGGAGCACTCCCTAAAGTCAAGACCGAGTGATACACCAAGGGCTAGGACAGAGGCGACAAAGGCAACGCCGAGAGATGCAGAGGCATGGACGCAGGAGTTCGATGGTATACGTGCAGCGTTGAAGTGGGTAGCGACGGCGTACTCTTGAAAGGCTGCTTTCCGAATATCACGATAGTCTGTCGATGGAACCAGCACCTTGTCGCCGACACGAACCCGCGAATTCTCATTGTTGACCCGAACCACTTCTCCTGCGAGATCCCGACCGTTGATCCATGGTAGACTGGGAAGGCCGAAGTTGAAGGCTCTGATGGTGTTAGCTGCGAAGGGTCGTATCTTCGGTAGACTTACGGGCCCTTCCAATCGACAGGGTTTAACCCAACTGCTTGGATCTGTATATGTTAGTCGAGCCACGAGAAGCCACGATGGATAGCGTACCTTAACTAAGATCTCGTCCTTGTGAGAGATCTCCGGGATGGCATGATCAGTCACCAGGGTATATTGTTCCCCCGCAGCATGTAGAAGCAGTGCACGCTGAGTCGTCTTGGGTGGTATGATCGAATCAGTGGGTGCCGATTGGGTAGTATAAGTAGGGTCTGTTCGCTGCTCCAAGATGATCTCCCGATGGTACACCGTGGTGTACTTTTCCTCAACAGATGCAGGGAGGGTATAAGTTGATATCGTCGTCATTATTGCAGTTCAGTGATACTGTTCAGTTTGGTTCAAGACGACTAATGTGAAGGTCACTTGGGCAGTTATAGATATGCATACCTACCCGGCCGAGAAATAACCACCAGTGAGAGGGGTCTCTCGGATACGGGCCAGCAGATCCTTGATCAAGATAAGAGCCGTGGCAATCGTGCATTGCGCGCCATATGCCGGCTGGATTCGCGATCACTTGGCGGTTCAGGGCAGTTGCTGCATTGCGCCGGGCGGGGTCGGGATGGCGTGATAAAGTTTTGTACCGATGGCATCATCAAACTGCTCGAATACCACATTATGGCAACGAAGAAAAGATCTTAAGAAAGGAGATTGATGCCAAAAATTGAGACTTGGTCGTGGGGCTTCTATATTTGTGTTGTGGTGATGTACGGACTTGCAAGGAGATCGCGAAAGCCCTGACTGCTCAACGTATATACCCCTGACTGGGATCGGCGAATCAGAACCTGCGCTGGCATCAACATCATCAGAAATGATGTGATACGGAGACAAGGAACAGCGACCGGTACCATTTTTGGAGCAACATAGTCGCTGGGTTGGATACAGTAGGCGAAATCGAGTGGAGGCAGAACAAGGATATTTGATGTCTCCAGATTCCTTGTGATCGATCGTAAATGAATCGCCGTAAATGCACAGAGTAGTGGTAGAAAGCCATATACATATCCTACATCTGCTTATCCTGTGAGACATATACGCCATATCACCCTTGCTGGCTATCAGCAGGCACTTTATCAACACACAAGCTGCGGTCGGAATGACGTGCCTGCCAGTAATCGGCCATGATTTCCAAGCAATGTCAGCGTCTGCTGAATGATGATTGCCTTATGAGAGTAACTCGTCTCTGGGAGCTCGTCAAGTCTAATCTCATACTGCACAATATTCATGATGGCGTACGGTGAACGACAACCTCTATTGAGCGTACCTGACTCCTCTTCGGAAGACGTGCCCAGTGATGTCCTGCCAACCACGGGACAGCGAAAACATCTTACCTGGATCAGCGCATACATTCTGGTAGTCTCCCGAGTCATTGGGAGCGGCATCTTCGCAACACCCGGAACCATCGTCAAATCTGCCGGCAGTGTCGGCTTATCACTGTTGATATGGGCAGTTGGGACCGTTCTGGCAGCGTGCGCGCTGGCCGTGTCGATGGAATATGGTTGTATGCTGCCGCGATCAGGGGGAGAAAAGGTAGTTCCACTGTCCCTAAAGTAGACCAAACTAAGTCTATCTAGGTATACCTGGAATATACCTATCCGCGTCCTCGGTTTCTTGCGTCGACCCTGATCGCAGTGCAGGCAGTTGTTCTGGGTTTCACGGCCAGCAACTGCATCGTATTCGCCAAGTATACTTTCTTCGCATTTAATGTGGTGCCCACGGAGCTCCAGCACAAAGCCCTGGCAGTGGGATTAATGACTGCTGTGACAATCATCCATGGCTGCTTCCTTCGGACTGGCATCTGGATTCAGAATGCATTTGGTTGGGTGAAAATATTTCTCATCGGTGCCATTTCCCTGACCGGTATTTGGGTGATCTTGCTTCGCCCTCACGGTGACCCCGACGCTCTTATCCCTGAACCGACCAGCGTGTTCTCGTGGGACACATTGTGGGAGGATTCCAACTGGAGTTGGAACTTGCTGTCCACGTCGTTGTTCAAGGTGTTCTACTCATACGCGGGATTGAACAACGTGAACAACGTTCTGGGCGAGGTGAAGAATCCTATCCGAACGATCAAAACGGTATGTCCGGCGGCGCTTCTCACCGCTGGTGCTCTGTACTTTCTCGCCAATATTTCGTACTTCCTCGTTGTGCCGCTTGAGGATATCAAGAACAGCGGAGAATTAGTCGCTGGTCTGCTCTTCGAGCGGCTATTTGGCAGCCACATCGGACGGACGCTATTTCCGCTAGCCATTGCCATTTCTGCTGCTGGTAATGTCATGGTAGTTACTTACGCCTTGGTAAGACTCTTTGATCTGTCAGTGAATGAGTCTAATGAATAGGCCCGCGTAAACCAAGAGATCGCCCGCCAGGGGTTCCTTCCCTGGTCTCGGGTTTTGTCGTCTTCAAAGCCATTCGGTGCTCCCCTTGGCGGCCTCATCGTGCACTATATACCTTCTCTGCTGGTCATCGCCCTCCCACCCCAAGGGGACGTGTACAATTTCATTCTCGACGTTGAAGGCTACCCAGGACAGGTCTTCAGTCTCGCAGTTACAGTTGGACTTCTGCTGCTGCGATACCGCGAACCGTCTCTCCCACGGCCCTTCAAGGCCTGGCTACCAGCAGTATGGCTACGAGTTGTAGTTTGCGTTGCATTACTTTCTGCACCATTTTTTCCTCCGGCAGACGGGAAGAGCGACGTAAACTTCTTCTACGCGACATATGCGATCGTGGGAATGGGAGTGTACGTATACCCTTGCCATCAATGAACACCACTAACGAAAATAGTATCATCTTCGGAATACTCTACTGGTACATCTGGACAGTGCTACTCCCACGCTGGGGCGGATATAAACTGGAAGAGGAAGATGAGGTGCTGGATGACGGGACCAAGATTACCAAGCTTGCGCGTTCGTATACTTGATCGGATAGTAGATCATGATTAGAAATCAAGCCACAAAGACAATTTCCACCATATTAATAATTTGTAACATCACATGCGACCTTGCATGTCATGCCAGAAGTACTGGAATAGATGATTGGATTTATCAGCGCCAGACGCAGTATCCTGCTCGGATGGCGTGCTTCTGACAAATGCGGATACTTACCATATATATAACTGCCCCGGATCTGCACCAGATATCTCAACAATACATCGATGATACATCACCCTTCAACTCAAATACTTACTCAATCATCATAAACATCACAATGGCCTCCGCAGCAGTCCAAACTCCCACCGGAGACGCTTCCACCGTCCCCTCCAAACCCACTCCCACCTCCTCCTCCGGCCCTCACCACGCCCACACTACCCTCAACTTCCTCAGAGAACTTCCCGATGGCTCCCACCTCGCCCCAACCTACGTAGGCGTCCCAAGCAGCTACGACCGACCCAGTATATCCATCCCCGTAACCATCAACGACGTGAGCGGGCACGAACTCGACTACACGCTCGACGGCAACGGTTTCCAATTCTACTACCACACCAGTGCCGAGAAGGACTTTCTCGACGACGAAAAAATCAAGCGAGAATACTACCCTGAAACCGAGCAACTCTTGAAAGATGCGTACGTCCATTCCTATACCTTGTCCCCATCCCCATCCCCATCCATCCCCTCTAACCAG